TGGTTACAATGCTGCAATATGAAACCACTACATTCCTAAACATGAAAAGGAAGTCTAGACTAGAATAGTACTTCCCAACCACATATCGAATTTTAAAAGTTTTTGGTGATACACAATAAGTGTTTTCGTTCCAATAAGAATTCCAGTCTGAATTTGTACTCGTCCTATTCTTTCAATGCCTTTCTCTACTGAGGGTGGGCCATATGGTCTCTCCATATCTCCCTCCTTCAATGCCTTTCTCTACTGAGGGTGGGCCACATGGTCTCTCCATATCTCCCTCCTTCAATGCCTTCCTCTACTGAGGGTGGGCCACATGGTCTCTCCATATCTCCCTCCTTAAATGCCTTCCTCTACTGAGGGTGGGCTACATGACCTCTCCATATCTCCCTCCGCCATCCTCTTCATCTCCTCATAGGTGTGTCGTCAAGTCCATTGTTTTAGATCGTCTGTGTATCCCTGTCGTCTCCTTCCCCTCGTTCTCTTCCCCCTGAGCTTTCCCTCCAACACTGTCAGCAATGTCTCTCCTGCTGATCCGCGCATCAAATATCCAGAAAACGTCAGTTTTCGTTATTTTATTAACTTTATCAGATGGCGTTCTGTACCCATTCAATTGTGGACTTGGTTATTTGTACAAGGAACGTATAATTGAGGCTCACAGAATAGTATGTCCTTGATTCCTATATTTCATAGATAGCACATTAACTCCAACTACACCAAACTCTCTCTTTTTTACCTATTTTCACCACAGTACACTCTACATTTCCTATACAGGAGATCCCAATGACTCAAAGGTTAGTGTAAGATATGAAGTTTGTTTAAGTTCAGATCATTGTGTTAGGTGAGAGATGTATCTTTATAATTTTATTCTTTTGATCTATGTAGTTGCTTATATTTTTTTCTTCTTCCATGTTGATGAGAGAAGCGTGGACACGGGCGCCGCTTGAAGGCGCTGAATGAAAATGAACTGACCAATGGGAATGGTCAACCGTCAGTCTTCTTGCTTGTTTATACCTTTAAACTGCCTTTGTTTTACTGCTGTGTGAGGTTGTTCTTATATTGTCAATGTATATCCTTCTTCTTCTTTATTATCTCCACTCAATCATATTAGGATGTCAAGCTTGAGACTTTTTATGGTGTCTGTTGACAACCATCATGATTGGGTGAAGTAGAATACGTCCGCCTTTGTCATTAAAAGACTGAGAGCACTACTCAGTGGCAGGCCGACTTAGCTCCAAAAGAAATGGCCACCTCTGACATGAGGAACAGACACCATGTACAGCTGTTTCTAACATGGAGTACAAACGCTGCTCATCCTGTATCCCTTACAAGGTACTATCAGCCATATATATCCTTATATCCAATAATATTAATCATATATTTATATAATCTCTTATATGGCTGTTCTTTTTGTAACATCGACCCACACATATGTTCACACAGTTTCTTTCCTTTAGATAATAAAGGATCTTTGCGTCTTGGTAAAAGTTTCTTCCTTTATTATTCAATCTTTTCCAACAACTTAACACTCGCTATTAGGGTTGGACTTTGACAACAATCAGGTGCCATTGGAACATCTTTTTTTAATTATAAAAAGTGCCTAATGCGGGATTTGATACCGGGTCGTAGCGGTTCACCTACCTCCTGTCAAATGAATGAATTTACCATATAAATAAGGTGCACAGTGTAAAGGTACCAGTATTGATGAGAAAAAGGAGATACAAAATTATTTCTTTAATTCCATATCATAAAATTCGTAGAAAATAGAATGTATTTACATATATACCATGGGTTAACATAGAGAACATACACCAACCAAAAAATGTAGGGATTTCAAAGATAAACATTGATATGAACAAAATAATACAACGTAATACATAGATATTGTTACAGATTAATTATTTTTGAATTATCTGTTGCTTATCATCGCGTAAATATTTGCATAGTCTCCTTACCATGCTTTTAAATTACCACTTGAAAAACCCTTTTGACACATTTTAACAATATATAAGTTTAATTAATTAATACATTATTTTTAATTAATCTTTTGGAATACTTGTCTTTTTACCGTGACAATAATTGTTATAATGGTTATTCCTTCATTTGCATATTTACAAATATTTCATATATAAAAATATAGTATCCAAGAAAATAGAAAATGCACCTATATAAAGGCAAAGATTTGTTGTATTCCTAATGGATTGATATATACAAGTCAATAACAACACGTTCTTAATGTATAAAAGTGGCTTAGTATAAAAAAGGAGTTGAATTTAATATTTGTCTGTTGAAATAGTGTAAGAATCTGTTGTCCCAGACTTGCCATATATGTTTAACCATGTATATCATTGATGAAAAGGAGAACACAAATTATTAATAGAAATGTTCCATTATGTCTACAGCTTTTAGGTAGCTTGGCCGGATTACTGAACAATAACGATACATGAATGTGCAGGAAGTTTAGGAAGCTTGACTTCAACACTGATAACTGAAAGTTATAATATCTACGTTTTAGCACTTATAACTATATATATAATACAATACAATGCAGTTTATGATTGTAGAACGAAGTATTTGACAATTATACCTCAAATGTTTCTTTTGAACGAAAAATCGAAATTTATTTTAAGGAGAAATAACGATTATTTCTAACCTTAGGGAAGAAGTATGAAAGGATGAATTGTGAAGGGTAATGATAAACGGATTCCCATCCCTGGACACTTTTATTTTTCCGTTTATCATTACTCTTCACAATTCATCCTATCATACTTCATCCCTAAGGTTAGAAATAATCGTTATTTCTCCTTAAAATTAATTTCGATTTTTCGTTCAAAAGAAACATTTGCGGTAAAACTTGTCAAACACTTCTTTCTACAAGATAACTTAATACAAAGCAATAACGCAACATTTATCAAAGTGGAATCCCCAATTCAGTGTAGCATATAAAATCAGAATTATACAATACAGTATTAGAGCTCTAAAGAAGCGGTCTGGTGGATTAAATTGATGAAACTGCTGGGAGGGTTCATCACTGATGAACCAAATCATGATGAAATTGTGAAAAACGTTTTAAAATATATAATATTTATAAAGGTTCTGGATGACCTAAAAATGTAAATAGACATATTCCATAACATTGTTAAATTACATATCAATTTAAAAATACAGTTGTAAATATCCACGCTGCGCGCGTATGTTTTTGTAAATATTTCTTGTAAGATATAGTCGATGTTTTATTAAGCCCGTTGAAGAGCGATTATCACTTGAAAGCTAGCGTTTTGTAATAAAAAGAAACAAGAAACATTCGCGTCTTAGCATCTTCATTTGTTACAAGATAATTTGAAAATAATAACAGACCTATATTGCACCAGTTCAGTTAGTAATTCTATTTAAACAGCCATTGTGATTTATTTAGAAATTCCTGTTCAATATTAGTATACACGACACTGTGCATTAAAAGTCTTTTTTTCATTTAAAAACATGTTATTTATAAAATGTGATAAAAAATAGTACAAATGTGAAATTTTACTAGGAATAAGGTAGATAAATTAAGAAAAAGGCATCTCCTTATCGTGCAACTTTCAATTGGAAGATAAGGAGATGCCTTTTTCTTAATTTATGTTATATATCGTTTTCATTCTTTAAAATTATCAATGATAATTGTTATAAAATGACCTAGCATAACAAACATCCAATTCTTTTTTAATAAGTACATTAAGACCAATATATCGTGTTTTTTTTTATGATAATGAAAAATTAATCAAACAATACCAATAAAAATATATTTATAGTCAAAATAACAAAAGAGTAAAAACAAATAATTATGTATAAAAATAACAATTAAAAAAAATGTTCTTTTAAATTATTTCAAAAGAGGATAGCGTGTTGAGAATGCAGTAAATTGATTCAAATATGGAATAGTGGAACGTGCAAGATTTCTTGCTTTGAGCAGAATGAGAAATATTTACAGGGTTTTTGAGATTTATTTTCAAAATTTGATTTTTTTTTTGGTAGGAGATGGGCTAAAAAAGATAATGAGGAGATAGAAAAAGAGGAAGATGACTCGAAGAAGAAGCGGGGATATGAGATGAGAAAGGCTAGTGTAAGGGGAGGGAGAAGTGGAATAGGCGCGATAAGATGAGGAGGAGCTAGAGGAAGAGTGGGAGGGGCTAAAGGAAGAGTGGGAGGGGCTAGAAAGAATGATGAGGCGCTAGAAAAGAATGGGGAGGGGCTAGAGGAAGAGTGGGAGGTGCTAGAAAGGAATGGGAAGGGGCTAAAGGAAGAGTGGGAAGTGCTAGAAAGGAATGGGGAGGGGCTAAAGGAAGAGTGGGAGGTGCTAGAAAGGAATGAGGAGGGGCTAGAGGAAGAATGGGAGGCGCTAGAAAGGAATGAGGAGGAGCTAGTGGAAGAGTGGGAGGCGCTAGAGGAAGGGTGGGAGGGGAAGAAGGAGGGGTTAAAGTAAGAGTGGGAGGGGCTAGAGGACGAGGAGGAGGAGCAGAGTTCCTATCAGCCAGAGGATGGACCAGGCACGAGGTCGCAAGCCCCCTGAGGTAAACATCTCGACGATAGCTCCGACAGAGCCGTTGTTGGGAGCTGGTGTCAACCCCAGGATTTGACATACCATGGGGTAGATGTTGACAGTCTCGAATCTCGGCATTGTGAATTGTCGCTTGAAGTTTGGGCCTCTGGCAAAGAAGATGGGATTCATCGAGACGAGATCATTGGAGTAGCCGTGTTCTCCTTTCACGCCTTTCATCCAGGTGGCGTTGAATATCTACCATCACACAGAGATATTTCAGAAACATACATTTAGCTTCTGTTTAGTCTATTATTTGTTTAGGTAACCCTTACTTCCTATTGTAAAACCACATTGGAAAATTATCCCGCATGTGTTTCTTTTGAACGAAAAATCAATATTTTTATTTTATGGAGAAATAATGATTATTTCTAACCTTAGGGATCAGGTATGAATTGTGAAGTTCATTTACGAACGGAAAAATATGTCCAGGGTATTCTAGTGGATATGGCATCTGCCCGGTAAGCGGAACACTGTGGGTTCGTTTCCCATCCCTGGACACTTTTATTTTATTTTTCTGTTTATCATTACTCTTCACAATTCATCCTTTCATACCTCATCCCAAAGGTTAGAAATAATCATTATTTCTCCTTAAAATAAAAATTTCGATTTTCTGTTCAAAAGAAACACATACGGGATAATTTTCAAATGTCGTTTTACAATCACAAGCCGCATTATATTATATTGTATTATACCTTACTTCCTATATTCCTATTGCATAGGCTGACGTACTTTAAAGATTGGGCTAACTATAACATTCATATGAACCTTAATTTTCATCAATCTTTATTGGAATATGTCACAAGTATTCTCACTCGATCCGACATAAAGAACATCGGTATACATTCCTATTATATAAATAAAGTATATATACAGTAGAACCTCCCTGTAAAGGACAACACCTAATTGCAGAGCCAAAGTGTCCTTTAAGGAGAGGTGTCCTCTTACCGGAGAGTGGCTAAATTGTAAAAATGGTAATTTTGTAAATGAAAACTGTCCTTTATGGAGAGGTGTGTGCTAAAGGGAGGTTATACTTTATTTATTAGGTATTATATTATTTATAAATATATAATGTGTTATATAATCATGGACAAAACTTAAGGAAGTTGTACCTTTTAGTAAGTATATCGGGATTCAGATAGTAACTCTGAAAATATTACAGTGACCTTTATTGAAGATACACTCATGGACAAAACTTAAAGAAGTTGTACCTTTTAGTATGTATATCGGGATACTGACAATAACTCAGAAAGATATTACAGTGACCTTCATTGAAAGCACACAAGATAACCAAGTGAGTGTATTTGAATAAAATTGCCTCTGTGTTCTTCAAAGACTTTCCACTTCCTTAAGTTTTGTCCATGATTAAGAAACTGATAAAAGGCATATATTGTTGGTATATTGAAATGTTGAAATTTTAAACACATCAAGCCAATATGTAAAATCTATCCTAATATTTAAATTTATAAATCAGTTAGCATCTTAACAGTGTTTATATGTTTCTATGTCGAAAAAGGAATAAAAGATAACGGCTACAATATTCTTTAATAAAGAATTTTGTCACTGTTAGATTTTATTCCTTCTTCGAAATGATATCCAGCTATTCCTATTCTTGTAATGGTTCTATGAACTCCTGTAGAAGGGCAAGAGATGCCCGAAAACTCGAGATTACATTTAATAAAGATAAAAGAGGTTTTTGGGGCTCAAAAATCATCTATATCGGTTAGCAGCCCCGTAAATAAAGATATTTCCAATATAATATAATGAGGCTTATGATTATAAAACGACATTTGAAAATTATCCCGCATGTGTTTCTTTTAAACGAAAAAATGAAATTTATTTTTTGTTGAATATATGAATTCAATTTTAGACTTTAATATTTTATAAAATATTGTCACTGAATAATTATTTTAAATATTCTGTGGTATATCATCATTATAATATTTGCATAGTTATCACTCCTCACGATTCTTATATATTATTACTTGTAAATAAATTTTCAGATATAGTTTTGCATTTTATAAATAAAACTATTTTCAATTACTAAAATCGTATGTATTAATTTCTAAAATAATATAAAACCCTAAAACCATTCTAACATTTTAAAGGAGAAATAACGATTATTTCTAACCTTAGGGATGAAGTATAAAATGATGAATTGCGATTCAGGGATTCCCATCCCTGAACACTTTTATATTTCCGTTTATCATTACTCTTCGCAATTCATCATTTCATTCCTAAGGTTAGAAATAATCGTCATTTCTTCTTAAAAATAAATTTCGATTTTTTTATTTAAAAGAAATACATGCGGGATAATTTTCAAATGTCGTTTTACAAAGATATCGATATATATAAAAATCAATGTTTGTTTGTATGTTTGTTTGTTTGTATGTCCGGTATACAAATTCGCAGTAGTTCACTATTTCAAACCAAAATTTCCATACATAGGTAAAAAAATATGGGGAAGACGATAGGCTATTTTAAAAAAATATATAAATCAATTATTAAAACTATATCTTCAAATTATTCTACTTAGCTCACGAACAGCGCCCTCTATCAAAGATTAGATTAAATTATGCTGATGCAAACAAATAGATAATGCTAATAACAAACAATTATAAAAAAATCTTATCTAAATATATATCACTCGGGTAGATATGCACATGGGTCAATCCCGGGGCGAAGCCACCCGTCTAGTTTTCGATAAAAGAAACTCATCTCTAGAAATCTGTAGCATTTGTTTGATTGATATCCAAGAGAAATAAATCAATTGATATTGGAATATGTAACTTACCTGGTAAACTAGGTAGCCTTCGTCAGGTAGGATGACAATGGGAGGTACTCTTCTATTTTTCTTGTAATGGAAGTGTTCAGGAATGTCTTCTTTGCGATAGACCGTCATGTTGAAGTTGATTGCCCGAAGTTTAGCTAGTACAGCTTTCTTACGCCCAGGTTTAGGATAGAACGAGAAAATGACACCTTCCTCTACCACTCGTTCGATATCCTTCAGCACATCATGCTCGGAAAGATCCAGAACATGTTCTTTGTCGTATATCACCTTTGCCATACCATGATCAGATACCACTAGCATATCCACCTTGCTCAAGAGTTTTTCTTCTTTCAATCGTTCAATGAGCATTCCGAGATTTTGGTCAACCATTTTAACAGCTTGTTCTACTTCTTTGCTATCAGGACCATAACTATGTCCTGTTTTATCAGGTTCATGGTAATATGTCATTACTAAATCATAATCTTGTTTTAACCATTGTATTACTTGTTCAGCTCTTTCTGCAAATGGAATGGATGAATTGTAAGGTTTAGTGCTGGTGGCTGTAATGTTCTTAATCGTAACTTCAGAGCCTGGCCAGAAATATACTCCAGATTTCTTTCCTTGAAGAGCTGCTGTGATCCAAATTGGTTCACCACCATCCCACCATCGAGTTTCTATATTGGACATGCTGAAGCTGGCTTTGAATTCTGGGTCCCACATCTTGTTTCCAACGATCCCATGGGACTCTTCATAAAGCCCTGTTACCCACATACAAACATTTTACCTAAAAGAATCACAAGTTTTGAAACCTAAAAAAATAAAATGAAAGCAGTAGTACACACATTTCCTCTCTTTTAAATAGAAAATTGATCAGAGAGAAATTTTATGAATATATTATAAATATTTAAACTCTGTTTGCACGTGTGATATATTTAATATAAGACCCAGCTGTGGAAACATTGTGTAAAATAAAAAAAATGACAACGTGACATTGAAACTACCAAAGAGAGACCAGGAAGTTGTTGTCGTGTCCAATGAAGAACCTCAGATGTCTCTATACATCTCTATCACGGGTGTGTAAAGCTGCTGTTCTGGGTACATTTCAATTTTCTGTTGTTTTTGTGTCCAATGCAGAGCCTCAGATGTCTCTATACATCTCTATCACAGCAATTTTCTCTATCTTATGTGTGTAAAGCTGCTGTTCTGGGTCCATGTCAATTTCCTTGCTCTTTATTGGAAAATGGGTGCCGTTGCCACGTTATTCACCTTGGAAATGGACCATACTTTGGTCGAATGAGATCAGGAAAAAAAAAACAACATTGTGATTTGGACTGTGGTCTTTAATTAGAGGCTCAATTGTATTAGTTCTCTTATAAGCATTTTTCTATATGAATCTTAACTCTAAACTGAGTGAGCATTGTAGTTTGACACATGTCAGGTTAGGTCAATGTTGACTCTAAACTGAAACAGCCCTCATTTTGAGCTGTCGACATTTAGGCAAGCTAGGATAGACCAATGAGGAAGAGTTGATAGCAGGCAGAAACGGAAGCAGATAGCCCACTTCAAAGGATCCAAGAATTGCTCGCTCATCGCTGATGCCTCACCTATTTACTCACTGACAACTTCTCCATGATTCTATGATGTTTCCATACAATGCTTATCTATTCATTGGGCAAAATTGTTAAATTGTATTCAATGGACTGGACTCCTCAACTTAATCCATACGTCCTATTTATAGCACAAATAAGTTAAAATATGTAAATTGTGCTACAACAAAGTACAAATATGCAAAGTGATTTTTTTTATTATCCCATGGGTAAGATTATACCAGGTCATGAATTTTTCTATTTTTTTCTACTATAGTTTTGGGGTTCAGGTCTTCCTTCTTAGCTCCAATACAGTCCAGGATATGTGCTGGAGTTGGAGCATTTTGAGCAGACAGCTTTTTCTCCACCAATGAACATAATGGGTCTAATATGTCCGGTCTTTAATCTTGCAATTTTTGTGATGCAAAGAGTAAATATGCAAAGATATCTTCTATCTTCATACCACCTAAGAGAGAAATTCTCTATTCATGTTGAGTCTTACATTACCTCGATGTCTTAGCATGGAAAGACTTAAGATTTTTTTCCCCCAAGAAATCCCTAAATACTTTCGTCCAAATTTTTATAATACTCAATTTGTTACAAACCCCGGAAATATTAAAGGTTTTTTAAATAGAATAAAGGCAGTGGAGGATTCAAGTTGCTTTTGTGGTATTGATGAACAAATAAGTACAAAATAATTGTAATGGAAAGACGTTAGAGTTGCCTGAAGAAACTGACATTGATGCTTCAGTCAAAATAAGGGAATAACCTATAAGCCTATAAAGGAAAAAAAGAAGCCTATAAGTGACAACTTTATTAATGATAGCTATTTTGAAGATTACAACGTAATAACATGATTGATTTGGTATCTTACTATCGACAGAAATAAAGATGGATTATCGAATCATTAGGTGTTTATCTCATCAACACCTTAACATAAAAAATGGTCTTCTTTTAATGGTGTCAGATCTTCCATCAAGCTAGAATGATGGTCCATACTAATGAAGGGTGAAACTACCGAACGATCTATTGCCATTACTCGACTGAGATGGTAATAGACCGAGTATCGGAAATATAAAATAATAAAAATATTTATATACGAGTACTATCCGTTGGAGTGTTACACTACTCATTTGATTGTGCT